CGCACGTCTCACATCTTTGCGATACAGGCCGTGAGCCGCGATCACGGTGTTCAGCACGTTCAGCCACGCAGGTCGCTATCCCTGCGTGAAACCCTTATCCCCGATCTTGGGGGCAGCCCTGGAGAGCCCGCAGAGGGGGTGTCGGTGCATGATACGGCGGCCCCTGCAGTGTGAATGGCTGGGTGTTCGTGATGCTGAAGATCTGGCGTCGGGGAGGGGGAGTTCAGATCGTCGGCTAGAAGCGAGCGCTAGACTGGATGCGGATCGCAAGGGACTTGAGCTAGCAGGTGTGATGTCATGGGAAACGTTAATTCTCCAGATCTTCATCCCTTTGCTGTCCGTGGGTTACGGGCGCTGAGAGCGCCATGCGCGTTCATCACAATTTCCATCTCAACATGCAAAGGATCTACGATTATCGAGAAGGAGGTGGGCGCCTTGCGGCCCAGCTTTCTGATTTCCCACCCGTGCCCACGATCGCAATGCGGGTAGGTACCAACGCCCTCGCGTATCCATCCGAACAAAAACCCACAAACGGAAACGTCTTCCATCATGATCGCTTCGCACCGTGCGCAGATTTTCCAGTCCAGTCGCTAACCACTAACCACCCAGAAATATCCCCCTCGACGGAGCGGTCTCCACTAACTGCAAGCGGCCCCCGGGAGGTGTTGAGACACGGAAACGGATTAGCCCCGTCCCTGCGAACTTGTAATCGTGGAACGCTTCTGGTGCACCAGCGCGCGATGACGAGGGAAGGATCTGCAAGGAATGGGGGGTGGCTAACGTCGATCGAGGGGATGCGCAAGGCGGAGATGGGAGGGGGGCAGGTGAACTTTGGGATGGGTATTCAAAGTTTGGGGTTTGTTGGCACGTTGGAATGGGATGCATTGATTGTGATGTGTTGATATGTTCTGAGTTTATCAGTTGGAATGGGGTTTGCGGTCAGTTCACGGCGGTTAGCCTTCCAGCTTTTCTAAGGTTGACGCCTGTTTCTCAACCAAGCGTGGTGTTCCTCGGCTTCGAGAGTTTCTCCTCATTGCAAAATTCAGGGTCTACTTCCCTTACTTTACAGTCGTTTGCGCCCACACGTACTACACGTGCTTCGCGATCTTGTGCGGGACATTGCAGCATTCCCTGCTCGCTGCAGTCGAAGTTTCAGTCCTTCCACTGCGTTTTCTGGTTGTTGGCGATCCTCTTGACTAGCTTTCTCTCGGCCACCTGCACTCCGACCATCTTCATCAACGCATCTCCGCCTCTGGCTGCATGTATGCCTTACCTCCTGCATCTTGCCGAACAGCGTCGAATCTTGATCTCCGACATGGCGCCGTCGTCCTGGTCGTCCAAAGTCTTTTAGATCCTCGTCTGTGTACTCCATATCGTCGATTTCGAGACTGTCCCAGTCACTCAGCTCGCTATCCTCAGGCTCTGCGATTGACGTGTCAGATCCTTCGCCATCATCTGCGACCAAAGGTTGGTCCCATTGGCGCCTTTGTTCACATGCCAATTCGGGCTTCAGAGCTGGGCTAGAATCTGCACTCATCGGACTGGGCAACAAGCCACGCATGATCGTTACCAACGTGTGTTAATGTTTCGTGACTTTGGAAATAGTGGTCGGAAGTATGGTGTAGTAGTTTCGCTAGGATACTTACAATGAACGAGTTTCATCCTTTCGCTCGCTGTGAAGCATGCAAATCAGCGACTACTTACTCTGTGAAGTAAGGGGCGGTGATGTAACGGCCTGTCAACAGAACTGTGCACGTATAGTCTTTGCTTTGGCTCTACATCACTCGGCACCTAGGATCGGCCATAACGCATGCTGTGTCACTGATGATACCCGCATCACTCTTCAGAGTATATACCATCACCAGCTGAATCTGAAGGTCGTGTACTGTGCGCAATAATCTCGCAAGCGGCATGTTTCACCTTCAGCGGCCACAGACATTTCCAATTTTTTCGATTGCAGCAGCACAAATCCGAGTAAATTTAGTGTGTTTACAACGTGCGTCCGCGTATCCCTAATATTCGAACACGTTTGCATCTTGCTTCGCGATCGATATGCTATAAGTTATGTTTGATGGAGGCAGAAGATGTCGTATCAAGTCGTGCTGACCTCCGAAAGCAGCCGCGAAAGGTCGCGACCACTACTTCTATGGCTTGTGTCATTGCCATGGTTTGTTTTGTTTCTGCATTGTCTTTCATTTAACAACCTACGCAGTTCTAATACCTTCGAAGTCTGCTCCGCATGATCCCAGCCTAGCAGGTCTGCCCACGTTCATCAGCGATCCGAGGTATCCTAGTCAACACCAAGACTGGAGAAATATCATCTGCCCTGATGATGCGGCTCGTACATTGCAACAGCACTTAGATCGCTTTGATGCCAACATAATTAGGCGGAGATGTTTGCACCACTTCTCAGTGAGCCATATTGTCCTACAGCATCATTGTGGTAAACCTTTCGCCAAATCAAATTGTTACTGATCAGGATGTGGAAATGGGACGACGCTTGGGTGTAGTTGGAGGGGAAGATGATGCGCGATCTTATGCGAGTTTCATCCTACAAAGGTAGGATAATCCATCGGCGTTTCACAAGGTCTTCGATATACGCGTAAACGTTTGATCATCGGCCTTTGATCGCTCTGGAAGTGCCATAGCTTTAGCACTTTCTTCTGACTGTACGTCCCAATCTGTTAAATCTTCATCATTCAATTTATATACAACCGCGCAAGACCTGATTGCTAATAGGCCCATTACAGCGGGTTACTCCCAGTACACGGGATTCCAAAGGTTCGCACAAGAGCGACAGTGTGCGCGCTTCTGCAACTACTTGTCTTGCTGGTGATCGCGTATATTGTATCCGACAGGGTCCTCCCATGTAGTGAAGTCGGCACTGGCGGATGAGAATCGACTTGCAACCTTTGTAGCAGTCGATATGGCCGTTGAGTGCGTGACCCCCCGTTTTGGTACTCGGGATGGAAGCTCAGCACTTCGCATGCATCTAGGGTTGCTCTGGTAGAGTAGCTAGAAGCCTCGACGGGGGCATTTGTAGTTTCCTTCAGAGACTGGACATTAGAGTTATGGGAAAGACTTGATAAATGGCTGCGCTGTTGTGGTATCGTACCCTGATGGAAGTCTTCGGAGGAGGCGGGACGAGATGGCAAGTGGGTCTTCGGCCCAAAGCGGAGGCCACTAGGCTAAGTGGGTATTAGTCACAAGTGACGTAACGCGAAAACCAGGTCGCGACAGGATCGCATCCCAACCTCGAAACCCCCTTTGCGTACGACGCGTTCGCCGCAGCGTCCAATGGCCATCGCCTTCATGCCGTAGGGCTCGAAATCTCCTCACGCCGTCCCTGATGGCACAGGCGTACTCCCTGCGGAGCTCCAGCATCCAGACCCCCTCGGACAAACCCTAGGAGCGAACGTCGCGCGACCGATCCACCAATCTACCACGACCGAGGGCCAGCTAAGGTGGACCAGAACACCAGAAATAACGATCGACTTTCCGACATAATCCCGCTGTGGTACTTCTGCGTGTGTGCGTCAGCAAACAGCTGAACACAGCCCACATCTGACGACGCGCGCAAGATGCGAAGTCTACCTTTCTGCCTGCCTGAAGACCTGCCCAGGGACCCGCGTCGCTCCGAATCGTCTGCAATCCCGAGATAACCGGTATTCACAAATGCCACTCAGCACTAGGAATACAGGAGAAGTGCTTGGATCTCCATAGCGAAGTTTCCACCAATCTCTGCACGGCGAAATTTCACCGACACTGGAGCTTTCGGATGTGATCATGTCAAAGTGACGAAAGGCCTCCACACTGCGCCGTGCTTTCCCAGCTAGACAGCGTGTACTCGACTTGCAAATGATTTGTTTGACCGTTTCCAGATGGAGACAACATCCGTCAGCCTTGACAGCTCCCGCTATGCAGTGGGCACTATGCAAGTGCCCAGCCTGGTTTACAGATATCGTCAGCTTTAAACTGGATCGCATCGAAGACTATCATGTCGACATGCCTGCCTTCCATACTGCTCGCCAATTCAACCTTTCGTCTCTAGTGTAGACCACACGGGCTGGCTACGAGCATGGTACGCGGCTTTCACGTGATCTCCCAGGCTGGTCTGGCTGCCGACGTACCCCATGAATTTCAAGTCTACAGATGTCTGGGGTAAAAAGCACTGCATCGCTTATTTGCTCATCTTGCATATCAAACGACCGTAGCGGAACACTCGGCAACGGTTTGTTACTATGTTGAGTAACTTTGCTCTTCGTTGTTCACCGCCAAGGCTCATGCCAATAGTCTCAACTCTCTAGACGACGCCGACCTTGCCGTCGGAACGGACTCCGCAACGCATCGAGCTCCGTCTTACTTTCGAAGAGCTCATCGTCTGCCATCTCAAGATCGGAAAGCTCACGTATAGCGATGCAGTTCATCTTGCTGACTTCAAAGTCGCAGCTACGTTTGCGACCAGTCTCAACGTACAACACCAACGATACCTCTCGTTGATATCTTTCTCGAGGTCGAGTTGTGTACATTGCATGCGGTAGAGCAACGTGTTCCTGTCGATCTTACCCCACAAAATCGGGTCTGGCGTGCGTCGAGAACCACAGTTCCCAGAACGTCTTTTGACTTCTGGCCAATGATTGCGGTTGGTGTTACTTGAAAGCGCGACATTTTTGAACGTTAACGCGGGCCACACGGCTACTACCAGGCAGCGGAAAGCCTCAAGCATTACGGGCTTGGATAGCAGTCTCCACAAATGCTTGTACAGGCATTCGTCTACTGATATCATCGTTCTCGAGATGACGATGAGAACCAGACGCGAGGCCTGCTAGAATCCCAACAACGTAAGCCGATGCCGCAACACTGGAAGTCGCTAGGAGTCTTTAGCAGTACCGGCTGTCATAGTCCCTGAGCCACAGGCCAGTATAAGAGGCACCCAGTTCGAACGTGTTGGAGGGCATCCTCGAATTCCACCTCATCCCACAGTCGCTCAGTTTTCCAGTATGAGATACGCTTTCGCTCCCATCGCGTTTGGCCTCGGAGCCAACGCCCTTGTCGTTCGTCAGGCTACACAGTGCTTCAAGCTTGAGGCGTCAGGCGGCGCATCAGGTGTACTTGGCCAACTCGACGACGGCCAGAACCGTGTCGGTAACGGTGGTCTGCCTACCGGCTGCTACTGCCTGGACGGCAACGGCGGCTTCACTGATTCCAATGGACGTGGTTGCATCCTGACTCCTCCCACCACCCAGTTCCAGTGCGATGTTGGTGCCACTCCCACCAACGGCTTTGCGGTCGGACCCAACGGTGGCGTTACATACAACGGCTCCGGCAAGTTCTACGCTTGCCCCGTCAACGACAACGGCGAGTACAACGTCTACACAACACCTGCCCCTGGTCAAGAGAAGTGCGTCGAGATCTCTCTTGGCTCCGCTGGTTCTTGCGGGGCTGGCGCTACACAACCCGCTGGCTCTCAGCCTGCTGGCACACCTCCCGTAGCCACTGCGACTGGACCAGCCGGCACACCTCCTGTCGCTACTGCCACTGTACCTGCTGGTACACCTCCTGCTGGCACATATCCTGCTGGCACACCTCCCGCTGGCACACCTCCTGTCGCTACTGCTACTGTACCTGCTGGCACACCTCCTGCTGGCACACCTCCTGCTGGTACACCACCCGCCGGTACACCTCCTGCTGGAAAGCCCTCTGGTATGCCTGGGAAGCCTTCTGATATGCCTGGAAAGCCTTCAGGTATGCCCGGAATGCCTTCTGGCATGCCCGAGTACCCCGGCCAACCTGGAAAGCCTCAGCAATCAGGCAAGCCGGGCTACCCCGCCATGTCTGAAGGCATGAAGCCTTCCCAGCCCGCACCTGGTGTTCCTCAAGAGTCTGAGTGTGTTCCCAGCGTCGTGACTGTCACTGTCACTGCGCCCGCTGCTCCTCCCGCTGGAACCAACCCCGCTCCCTCTGAGACCAAGCCAGCCCCTCCTGCCGAGACTCATCCCGCTCCTCCTGCCGAGACCTATCCCGCTGCTTCCGCGACCATGCCCGCTCCTCCAGCAGGAAGCAAGCCCGCTGAAACACCAGAGAACCCCGACGACGGCGTTAACAACGGCGGTGAGGGCTCATGCCCCCAGGACCTCAACGGCAACTACGAGTACCCCCACCTCATCGTACCTGTCGACTCCGAGCAGCCCGACAAGGCCCACGACACCTCCTACAATGGCAAGGTCGATAGCCACACTTGCACCATCTTCAACTTCGACATCCCCGCCTCCATGGCCGGCAAGAAGTGCTCTGCCATGTTTATGCTTCCCAAGAAGGAGGACCTCGAGACCTCCGACTACACCATGTCTGGCCACGGAGAGTGCACCATCAGCAAGCTCAAGGGTCCTGCCGATGCGATGACTACCTACAAGAACATGCCCGCCAAGGAGAAGGACGTCGCTCACATGGAGATGACCCCTGGCAACACCTACCCCGTCGAGACTGGTGACTGCGAGGCTGGCAAGACCGTCACCTACATGATCTGTGGCAGCGGTGACTTCTCCATGGATTACTTCCAGGACTACAACCCAAGCCCCCTTGGCATGTACGTCCGCCAGTGCTAGATTGTTAGCATTGGTGACTGAGACCTTGTTGGGATCATGAATCATCATCAAGTGAGTCTAAAAGGTGTGTCGGATATGAGACACCACATACTTCTTCTTCATCGTCGCTGAGACGAGCCTTTCCTTTGTAATAACAACATGATACGATACGACGACATGGCACTCCTTATGAATAGTTTGTAGACTAGATTCGATTCAATGTATATTTTTACTCCAACAATATGATCTCGTGCATGATGTTTCTCTTGAATGTTGAAGCTGGACACCATTTCTTTCGCCTCTCAACTGCTAGTAGCACATCGAGCTCGTAAAGGCGCGAAACCGGAAACATCGCAGTGAGTTGGAAGAACTTGGGAGGCGCGGTGAGGATCGCTTCGGCGATTGCCAAGACGCTAACGGCAAAGAAGTCAGCGCGCCCGGCACCCGCATCGCGTTCTCCACGAAATGTCACGCGTCCGACTGCACCTCGTTGCAACTCACTCGACGCGAGCGACTACTTGACTACTGTGTTCTCGAGATCTCCGACACGTTCTCCTTTGAGAGGCGCTCTGCCCGGCTTCGATTGTCATGCACGCCACACGCGTCGCACAGCACCATCATTTTCGTGCCTTTTCGCGCTCCATCCGCAAAACACTCCTTCCCGAGGTCAGCTAGATCCCGGCATATCTGGACGGCGATATGTAGTCCAACAATGGAACATATCGTTAAGGCTATCCTAACCCACTCCACGTGAAGCGCGCGTCCATCCGGAATGAAGGCCAACCAAGGCCTTCAATCTGCGCGAACGCCCCAACTCCAGTGCCTAAGCTCGCGATATCACTTTCGACATCTATCCTGTGTTGGAGTTCCTGCACCGTGCGTGCAGCATCTACGTCCAACTCAGCCTCAGGGTACAGCCGCTCCCACTCGCGCTAGAAGACGCAACGAATCTTCTGTACAGTGTCTGCAGATGGCGAGCTGCAGTCCGAAATGACACAAGATCCCCACATTACTCTATGCGCAATATACACAGCATTAGCTTGACCACTTCGTCCAATCTGCAGGGCGCTTTTCGGGATCGCAATATCACGAGCCGGATTGCGGGGTCGATGTTTCAACGAAGCTGGGGTAGAAGCCGGGTAAACAGCTCAGATATATTGACTACCCGCAGCAGCCCTGGTAGACTTTACCTTGGCTAATTTACTGTTAACAGGACTACATACCAATCTAGGGGCGAACGACCGTTCCTTACATTCGCCAAAGAATGCGCACGGTACGCCTTCGATGAAGCACTACAGCAACGCCGCCGTGGCGCTTTGTATGCGAGATGTCAATGCTTTTTCACCAAGGACTTGGACCGTCTTGAGTACTGTTAAAATGTACAACGGGCCGACGGTACCGTTGACCAAGTCTAAATACAGCCACGTGAACGTAAGGGCAAGCCTGTACCAAGCCTGCTGAAAGAGAAAGAGATGATTGGATGGGTCTTTTCCGCGGCGCTCATCCTCATGGCGTTGTATAAAAGCCCCAGGTAGTCCAACGTACGATTCATCACCACCTCGAGTCAATCTCAAGCCTCTCGTTTCATCATGGTGCAACTCACACAGTTCGTTTTGGCAACTGCCGCCCTCGCCGGTGCTGCGTCCGCAGCTCCTAAGCCACCCCCAGGCCCCAACGTCAACCCTTGGACTGGCAAAGACCGCTATGTTGTTCAGAGCTACGGCAAGAAGCTCGACCAGACCATTGCAGCCTTCACAGCCCAGAACGACACTCTCAATGCGGCGCGCACTCGCACAGTCGCGCAGAAGATCTCGACTTTCACTTGGGTCACTACACGTGATGGTCTCAGCCTCATTCCCCAAGCCATCAAGGAGGCTCGTCAACAAAAGAAGGGTCCAAAGAAGATGATTGTCGGACTAGTTTTGTACAATTTGCCCGACCGTGATTGCTCTGCTGGCGAGTCTGCCGGTGAGCTCAGCTCCGCCAACAACGGTCTCCAGATATACAAGAAGGAGTTTGTCGACAAGTACGCTAAACTTGTTTCTGAGGCCAGGGATCTCGACTTCGCCATTGTTCTCGAGCCCGACAGTCTGGGTAACGCCGTCACTAACCAGGGTGTTCCTTTCTGCGCCAATGCCACTCCAATCTACGAGGAGGGTATTGCGTATGCGATCTCCAAGTTGCAGTTCCCCAATGTACATCTGTACATCGATGCTGCGCACGGCGGCTGGCTAGGCTGGGCAGACAACCTGAAGCCGACTGCTGAGGTCTTCGGCAGGGTTGTTGCCATGGCGAAGAAGCTTAACCCTATGGCTAAGATCCGGGGTTTCTCCACCAACGTATCTAATTACAACTCCTTCCAAGCCAAGGTTCGCGAGAACTACACCGAGTACTCCCCATCGTGGGACGAGAGCCACTACGCCACCTCGCTCGCTCCTTACCTCGAGGCAGAGGGTCTGCCATCCCACTTCATCATCGACCAGGGTCGCGTCGCTCTTCCCGGTGCTCGTGAGGAGTGGGGTGAGTGGTGCAACGTTGAACCTGCCGGATTCGGTCCTCTACCTGGCTCCAAGCAGAACAACACCAACGTCGATTCTCTCGTCTGGATCAAGCCTGGTGGTGAGAGTGACGGAAAGTGCGGTCTTATTGGCGCACCGGCTGCTGGTGCTTGGTTCGACGAGTACGTGCAGATGCTGGTCAAGAACGCTGACCCGCCTCTGGCGCCAACCTACATGAAGAAGCCTCATGGTCCCAAGGCCTAAATATGGTGGAGCTGACCGAGTGTAAAGTACGTGGGTTTTGTTTAATGTACATATTAGATCGAATACTTAAGATTGTTCTAAGATATCTATCTTTTCAAAGTCTCACTGACCTTGCTACGCCATCCAGATATGACCTATTTTCAGGGCCCTCCAGGGCTATGCACTCTGTACCCACACGTGACTCCAAGCTAACCTCACCGCTGCCTAGCCTGGGCCTGCAATTATTTAGAGAAGGCAATTCTCTTGTGAGTCCGCCACAACAACGTCTTTGCAACAAATCTACGTCGAGTCCTTCCATCGAATTCTCAAACCCAACCCGATACCCGAGTCCACATTATGGCGACAGCCTTCTGGGACCGCGAGAAGGCCTACAAAGAGTGGGAGGAATTGCTCAAGCGGGCAACTAGTCCTGAGGAATCTGACAAGATGTAAGCCGATGAACTTAGCGCGTACTTCATCCACAATACACCTCTTTCTCATCCCTTCCATTATTTAATGGGCGGATTTAGTCATCGTGTATCTCGTGTGTGTTGCGGGAGTTCATCCACAATACACTAGCTAATCGTAACAGCGCCACAGCAAACCAGCTGAACTCGCCCCTACTTCGTCTACCTGGCGAGATCCGCAATCACATCTACACCTACATCTGCCGATCCATTACAGTCAAGCACGGGAAGCGTTCAGAAGTTTCCGGAAGCTCATGTCTCTTCACCAAAACCTTCCTCCTCGCCTGCAAACAATTCTACTGCGAGGCCATCGCACTCTTGTATACCCACGCGACGTTCGAGTTGTCTGGATGGGCAGGATGGGCAGCTCACGTAAGCCTCAACCCCAAATATCGCAACCTCATTTCCTCGCTATATTTGGACCATAATATTCTCCATACTGCAACACGGAAGGCTCGGGAGTTCAAGGCTGGTATAAGGACTGAATCTGATCTGCCTGGGGTTGAGAGGGTGCTTTTAAAGCAACCTACTAGGGCGAATGATGTATACATCAATGCGCTACAAGGAATGTTTGGAAAGCAGACCTTACAGGTCACCGACGAGGAGATTACAGATCCAGAAATGCTCTTTTTGATGCGATATTCTTCAATGCAAAGTTGAACTCATCGCGGATAGCGCATTCTTTCCCAATCTATTTTCCTTTAATCATGAGTAGCTGGATACCTAAGTATGTGAGGAAGCGATTTCAGACAAGTTGGGAGCGCAAGTCTCTGAGATCGATCCAGAAATTCTGATGGATATACTTAGTATCATTTGTAGCAACACACTAGAACTGGATCAAGAAATATCCTCCAGCTCGGCCCTATGCACGTGATGATCTGGCGCGTGATCTCCAGGGTCTAATCCCACCTGGGCAGTCTTGCAGCCACTTCCGCACGTACCCTCTGTATATAAAACACCTTGATCGCCGAAACCAGTCCTCTTGTCTTGTATTCCCACAGATTGTTCTCGGTAAGCCATCAGCTCATACAGTCCCGTGAGCAACTACGCTGACTGGTTGGTGTAGCCCACAAACCGTCAAACACACGTACCGGGGTAAGCGTTCTGACCATTGAACAACTTTCTGGGCTTCGATCCTGACCCCGCGTAGCAAAATGTCACGGCAGACAGCCACCTCACGTCAGCGTCGCGTGCTCACTTCCACAGAAGCTCGCGAGATGTAAGTACCTGGACCATTCAACCCTATCGAGACGACGGGCATCTGCTAACATGTATACAGCACCATTCAGAACCAGCTCGACTCACCTCTCTTACGGCTGCCAGGAGAGATACGCAATAAGATCTACGCGTACGCGTGTTCCCGCACTCAGGCCGTCTTCAACAACAGTCCTCGAGCCCGCAAGTCCACAGCCATCACATCCACCTGTTCTCAGATGCGCCATGAAGCCCGCGCCATCTTCTTCGCGCATGCGACTCTCGACTTGAGGGCGCTCTTGTTCTCGGAGTTCCCACAGACGCTTCCACACGCGGACTTCCAGCTCGTCACTTCCATCCATCTACGATCGCAACGAATTACAAGGCTCCTACGGGAGGACGGGCATTTTGTAGCGGATAGACAGGGAGCCAAACTCTTTCCGGGACTGGAGCGAGTATATGTCTCTGGTTGGAGTAAATCGCGCATGCCAAAGGATAGTTTGGGGGTTGACGCGCTGCGGACTTGGGCGGGAAATGCGGACTTGCAAGTGGCCCCCAGCTCAGCGTTCTAGAGATCATCGCAAGGGCGAGTTCCGCATACGGGAATGACGAGGGTATTGATACGTCATAAGAGAGACTCTACTACAGAAGCGGCTAACAGTCGCACATTCTACACTAGTTCATGAAATCACTCCAGGATCTTGGACCTACTTCTTTCCACCACCCGCTGTCCACGTATTAAGGTCAATCTATCTGCTTCCACACTCACACCATATCGGAGTCATGGCCTCACCCCCAGCCATGCGACGTAGCAGCGCTATGTCAGACATGTAGTTTAGCCAGTTCCCACGCAAATAATCAAACAAACTCACTAACACTTTATCTAGTACGCTTCAGAATCAGCTTAATTCCCCGCTTCTCCGACTTCCAGGCGAGATCCGCAACAAGATCTATGTGTACACATTCAGCGCTATGTACATTCGTATATACCGCTGGAGTGAGTACACGTACGAAAGATTCACGGCCCTCATATCAACCTGTTCTCAGCTCCGCTATGAAGCCCGTGCGATATTCTTCGACCGTGTGACCTACAGGGTCTCCGATAAGGATCATTCGTGGATCAAGCGGATCTCAAGGCTACCCGTTTATCAACTTATGACATCCGTTCGCATGCACTATAGCGGCGTGGATGAGCTGTGGAAGCTAGAGCGTCCAGCCTTTCCGGCTTTGAAGCGAGTATACGTATTGGCTTCACCCATGGGATCGCATATGACTTATCTCATACGTCATAACCTGCGAGCTTGCACTAGAAACCAGGATCTTGAAATCATCTTTGAGAAAGCTGGGTAAGGGTATGGGAAGGGTCCTGTTAGGTGAGAGCGCGACGCGTACGTCATAGCGTCTTCTGCTACCTAAAAGGGAAATAGCCACTAGTTATTCGCTTCCTCTACTCGAATCAACAACAACTCACTCTCACCTCGCTTACCAAGACACTCCAACATTTGGCCTTTAGCTGTGATTACTTCTGTCCTTCGTCGGCTTACCCACTTTATCCTCCCGCGCGATACTCACAATGCAGAGTGATCTCGCACCTGCAGTATTGCCTTGCGACAGCGCAATGTCGGAAATGTAAGCCTGAAAGACCCAGAAGCACGCGCACGACAACTAACACCTCGGCTAGTACGCTCAAGAACCAGCTCGACTCACCTCTTCTTCGCCTCCCAGCCGAAATTCGAAACAAGATCTACACCTACGTTTCGCTCTCTACGAAGATCGAAGTGATAGGAGTCTTGGAAGACCTGTCTCCAAATTACACCTTCTATCTACGAGCTCCGGGATTTGTCAAAAGCTGCAAGCAGATCCACCACGAAGCCACGACGTTGCTCTACAGTCTAGCCACTTTCGACATCACCAACCACAGCTGGGGCTTCCTGCGCCAGAGTGGCTTCATTCGCACCATTCGCACCCTAATTACCTCAATCAGGATGTCGGGTTTCTTGGCTGATTCCGTAATTTCTGGTCGTGAACGTTCACGTCCTTGGGGATCAGCGTCATCAGCAGGAGACCTACCAGGTCTTGAGAGAGTGCACTTACAGAGTGTATACTGGGGTCGGAAGGACAACTATTCAGCAGCTATGAGCAAATGGTTTGAAAATGAATCACTCGAGATCATCTTTGATCATTACGCTGGCTAGGAAAGTCGTCACTCACGGTCTACGAAAAGACTGTGTTGATTAAGAGTACGAGAGTAGTTGGAACAGCATTTTGCACAATTTAAGGGTCGTTTCAGTTCCATGCACCGTTGATAGACCGTGTACCCAGTTGCTACGAAATCGTAGGCCGCGAGAATGAAGCACTCAGCAGTCCCCACCCCCCGAGCAGCTCAAGAGATGCAAGGTCTGAGAAGTGACCTTAGAGGCAAATGGGCCTGATTAGTCACAAAAGTTACTTAGGTAGTCGATTTCCGCACTAGCGCCTTCCGAGATAGCGCAGTAAACACTGCCTTCACTTCTCAATCTTTCTATCTCCCTCCGCCCACCACCTACAACCAGAGTCAAGCGCCTCTAATCTCCGCGCCCCTGCGATATGGAGCCCAACGCTTCCTCCGCGGCCCTCCTGGGCCAAGAGACTGAAGCAAACATGTAAGCTCGCTGTCTCTCACCAGTCGCACGTACTAACACATGAGCCAAGCACTCTCAGAAACCAGCTCGAGTCGCCGCTTCTCCGCCTGCCCGCTGAGCTGCGAAACAAGATCTACACCTACGTCGGTCTTTCCACTACGATTGAAGTTATTGTTATTGCAAATCATATGCCACAAGCCAAGGATTGGGGTTCGGCAAAGCTCAAAGTCGGGCTTCCCGGCCTCCTCAGTACTTGTAAACAGATCCGACAAGAAGCCACTTCTCTGATAGGCAAATCTGCCATCCTCGATCTCTCGAAGATAGACCCCCGCTCATGGCTAGAGCCCCGTTGCAAGAACAAGTTCAGCGAGCTCATCACCTCAGTTAGAATTGATTACGAGTTTGCCGAGGTTGCTTCAGGCGTTTCTTCTCTATACCTTGGCCAGACCATGCGAGCAAAAAAGTCTCCCGCAAGCTGGCTACCAAGCCTAGAGAGGGTTCATGTCAAATCGTGGGGGTGGAGGCCCTTTGAGGACAGCGAGAAGATAAAGTCGGGCTTGAGGCTCTGGTGCAAGCAAGATAATCTGGAAGTCATCTTCGAGGACCTTCTCTATTGGCGGGACGGAAATGGGACCAAATATTGCGCTGGTGAGTGGAAAGAAGTCTACGACTAAGGAGTCACTTCGATCGCTGAGCTGAGCCCGTTCCTGGTGCTTTTTACTCCCTCATAGCAACTTGGCGCTCGGTGTAATACTAGACTTGACCACGGGGAGGTGCCTTTCCCATAGCAGCGTAGCGATGGGAACGATCGTATATCAAGACCAATGAAAAGCAGCTTCACAAAAGGAAATGAGGAAGCTTTAAAGTCACGTTACCTTCGTAACTTGTTGGAAACAATAGTGACCTTGGGTAGTCCAAGCTTCCGACTGAATCACGGTACTAGCTCTTGGCGAGCTAGCAAATTACATGATGAATCTATCACTCTTTTTCGAGCTCACTACTTAGTTCCGACCCCCACCGAGCAGCTCAAATCAACATACCCTGTATTTCCCCCCACACACGCAAAATGGCAACGCCATCTACAGCCGATGGACTCAACACCGCCATGTCAAAAATGTATGTCCACTACCATTCCCCGCACTTCCCACTGACAACTTTCCCAGTACATCCGCCAATCAACTGACCTCCCCGCTCCTTCGCCTGCCCGCTGAGCTGCGAAACCAGATCTATACCTACGTCGGCCTCTCTACTATCATCAAAGCCGTCCAATCTGAAGGGTATTTCACGTGCAGCTTCCAGCTTCCAAAAGAACTCGAGGCATGCAAACAAATCCGACACGAAGCCACCTCAATAGTATACAGATCAGCTCTCTTCGATCTTACTCAGTGTCACACGGGTGCCTGGCTGAACGGCAGCTGCCAACACGGAATCGGCGAGTTCGTTACCTCGATTAAGATCGGGGGTCGTATTGCATGCCACGTTTTATGCTATCTTCGAAAAGTTAAAGAACCTCAAGGACTGCAATTTCCGACTAAATGGCTGCCGAACGTAGAGAAGATTTATATCGAGTCTGACGAATGGGGGCAACTGTGGGGGTTTACCATGGACACAGCACTGGAGATCTTGTGCAAGAAGGATACGCTGCAAGTCATCTTTGTATGACTGAGAGAATGGGCGGCGTGCAGGGAAAGGGTACTTTAGACGTCACGAGAACTGGCTAGTCAACAAAGAAGCGGATCGTAGTATCAGTCCTTGGCTAGGCAAGCTAGTGCATTGCGAATAAATCGACCTCGGAAGCACTCACTTCACATTGCCCACACAGTTCCGTCAACTACACACTAGCCACAATCAACTTACTCTACTTCTCAGTCTGTCCACAGAATGGAAACTTCTTCTAGAGCCGTCGTATCTTCCACCGCTATGTCCCAAATGTAAGACCCTCGCCATCCACTCAACACCACCCACTAACGGATGCGCCTAGTACTCTTACCAACGCCCTCACATCCCCCCTCCTCCGTCTCCCTGCCGAATTACGCAACATGATCTACACCTACGTAGGTCTCGCGACTATCATCCGACCCTACAGCTTGGAAACTCCAAACACCGCCAACACCGCCCCCATCAAGTACGCCCTCGAACTCCCAGGCTTCCTCTCAGCCTCTCAGCAAATCCGAAAAGAAGCCACCACCCTCATATACAAGCACTCTCTCTTCGATTTCGACGTGTTTGACTTATGCTCGTGGCCACCAATTAGCACCTACAACCACGAGATCAGCGAATTTATCACCTCGATTAGGATTTCGAGGTGTCTTGCGATCGAGATTACACTCGAGATTAGAAATGGTAGAGACCTCGGAGAGCTCAAGTTTTCGAACTACCGGCTTCCGAATCTGAAGAAGGTGTGTGTTGGGCCTTGCGAAACGAGGCGGCCGTGGGAAAATGCTGTGAGGATGGCGCTGAAGGTTTGGTGTGGGAAGGGGGATTTGGAGGTTAGTTTTGGGGTGGAGGGTTTGTGAGATAGGGGATGGGCTGGGGAAGGGGACTTTTAGACGTTACGAGGGTTGACTAGTTAAGGGAAAGACGGACTGAAGTAGTTTGTGTTGGCTAAACAGTACAATACAATACACGATAGATGGATCGCTCTCTTCGAGTTCCCAACTGAGTTCCGTCGACCTTAACCTCCCACAGATGCCCAGGTATCCAGATCTCTACCAATATGTCAACATACCCCCATCATCCCTAAACTCAACTACCAAATCCTCCTTGTGAAACCACTCCCTCAGCGTACCTCTAATTATCTTACATCCCCACTGAGAAGATGACCATATCACCTCCACCCTCTCCAAATTCGGCAGTGGGCACCCAAAGAAAGGCCTGCCTCTGTCCGCATGAACGTATCCAGCAACTTGACTCGAAAGCACCCTGCAAAGCTGCAACTTAGTACAGCTCTTCGCCTCGACGCAACACGTGACCCAAGAGGAGCTGTCTCCACGGGTGATGTCGCAGGTGGCGTTTGCGTAGATGAGAGCTGTGGCTTCGCTGCGGATTTGCTTACACGTGCGCAGAAAGGGTGGAATAGTGTAGGGGCATAGGCGTTTGGAGGAGCTCTGCATGTTGAGGACTTCTATTTTGGTTGAGAGACCGATGAAGGTGTAGATCTTGTTGCGGAGTTCAGCGGGTAGGCGGAGGAATGGGGATGTGGGATAAGGGCTAGGTAGCTGGTTAGTGGAGGTTAATAGATGTATAATGGGGTGCGTACATCGCCGACATCGCGCTGTTGGTCTGGGTGGCTGCAGGTGTGGTTGCGGTTGTGGCTGTAGTCTCCATGTTGGGCAGGTAGGAGAGGCTGTGTATCTTGATCTCGAACAATGCCCAGGTGGGTGGTATAACGGCAGATAAGCTAGCAGCACCGCTAGTGCTCTAACCGCACTAGTCTAAATTATGCGAAATACAGTGAACTGTTTGTCCGCTCCAAGTCCTCATCCCTGTTCAGTCACCTACCCACTAGCCGAAACCACTACACCTACATTCTCCAACCCACACACAATGGAACCTCCATCTTCTACAGCCGTTGAAGTCGCCACTGCCATGTCCGTCATGTACGTCTCCGCCCCCTGCGCCGTCACTAAACACCATCATCCACCTACTAACGCACACGTCTAGCACCCTTACCAACACCCTCACATCCCCTCTCCTCCGCCTCCCCGCTGAGTTGCGCAACAAGATCTATATCTACGTAGGCCACTCTGAACAGATCCACATTGCGGCGACCATTACCAATGCAAGCCCTGGCGATCCAACCCGCAACCCTTCCAAATTCACCATGCAGTTCCACCTCCCAGGTCTCCTCTCCACCTGCCAACAGACCCGCTCCGAAGCTACCGCGCTCGTATACGCCTAAATCACCATCGACACCCTCCCTGGAGACGCATGGTACTGGCTATGCTCAAAATCTTCACATCAACTTTACGCGCACGTTACTTTAGTCTGTATCAGCGAATGGTTTGCCGACCTCATGGAGCGCGAGTTTGAAGAGCGCGTGAGGAACTCGCAAGACACCAAATGCTGCACCTTGCACCTGCCACGTTTGAAGCGTGTGCATGTTATTTGTAGGTTCTGGGCTGTGAAACTTTTGGATGGCTCGTTCATGAGGGAAGCGATAGGAAAGTGGTTTGGCAAGGAGGAGTCTTTGGATATTGTCTTTAAGGTGGGCTTTGATCTTGGATGTCGGCCTCCTAGCTCGCTCCAGGAAACACGGGATATGTTCGACGATTTTTAGCGGGATGGGATTGAAGATTGAGGGAGTAGAAACGGATGGGACTGGATACAAGGGAGGATATGGGAGCCGAGAATTGGAACACCTGCAAGTCAGCTCCTTACTCGCTCAATACGCATCTTGCTTTTCGAGTGTCGGATTAGGATTCTCTCTTAAAGAAAGGTATCAGCACCTTCTACACCATCAACACTCCAACCCGAGCTGCAACCTCACCATCCAGATATCAATCTCACTATCCGCGATGTAAAACACATTCTCTCACCAAAACACGACCAACTAACCAAACCCCCACCTCACCTTACCCCAGACTATCCTCCCACACCCGCAGAAACTCCACCTCCACCTCCTTCCCCTTCCCAGATCACCACATCACCGCCTGAAATCGGCACGCGTGTTGTAAGACCTCAGCCGAGTTTAATCCCCACCAGCTATCCACATCTCCATTAGCTCGTCAACACCCCCCTAAGCCCCCTAAACTCAACTACAAGGTCTAGACCAGGGTGTCAGTATTCCCCTCGGCGCACTCTTATCGTGGAGAGAGATAGTAGAAGGAGGTATCAGCGGTGTTGAAGAAAGAGCCAGGAAAGAGATGACTCCCACCACCGCCCCTCCGCCTCCCCCACCCACCCCGGGGCGGGGGAGGGAGAATTTTATGGTCGTGCTGAGGGCGAGGGATGCGTAGATTTTGAGTCGTAGTTCGGCTGGAAGGCGGAGCAGCGGCGATGTACGTTGGTTGCGGAGAGTGCTGGGGGTGTGATTAGTAGGTGCTGTGGTGTTGAGTTGATGGTGGGGTTGGCGGGGCTGGCGGACGCGTACATTTCAGACATGGTAGTGTCGCATCTGATTGTTGATGATTTCTTCAGGCTGGGAGAATTAGGAAATGTAAGATATCACGTGGGAATTTAGGCATGTTGGTCTTGGCTGGTACGCAGTCGACCGAATTCAACCTCTATCAGACACCCTCATATCAACGGCACCAAATCATCCTCCAAGAACCAATCCGTCAGCGCCACAGCTATCGGCGTTCAAATCTGGAAGGGAGAGTTGCAGCTCGGGTTGGAGTATGTGATAGCTTGGTCCGTAGATATCATGCCCGCGAGTGGGGATTTGGTTATGATTAGGCTGGAAAGGGCTGTGCGATGAGCACTTCTTGCAGCTTTACGTACTGAGGGAGCTGATTCAAACATCTGTTGAAGATTGGTATATAACATCGCACACACTAACGATATCACAGCTCCTTCCCATTCTCTCCCCACACACACATATCCCCAACCCCAACCCCCCTACAACCCAAACTGCCCCTCCACCTCCCTCCTCTTCTGCTCCCTCTCCATCTCCTGGCGAATCCGCTCAACCTCCTCCGTCATGCCCTTCTCGCCCTTCTTTTTCTGCCTCTCCTCATACAGCGCTCTCCCTTTCATAATCCTCGCCACAATCTCCGCGGCGTTTACGTTTTGGAAGTCGTGGTTAGCGATTTCGCGGTACATGTTGAGGGCCTTGGGGACGGCGTAGGGGTCGAAGGCGAGGGGCATGAAGGTGGTTTTGCCGTGGTAGACGGTGAGGGGTTGGGCGTAGGGGAGCGTGTGCAGGAAGGCTTTGCTGAGGGAGAAGGGGGCGCCGAAGATGGCGGCGTGGACGTACTAGGATATATGTGTTAGTGGGTGTGTGTGGGAAAGGGAGGGAGGGACGTACTTTGCATTGGAGGACGCAGAGGCCGCGCTCGAAGATGTTCATGATGGGGTAGTTTATGCCTTTCCAGTGGTTGATGACTTCGTCGTCGTGGATGCCGGCGATGAGGAAGATGGGGCCGTAGTCTTCGCCGGACTTTTCTATACGCGCTGCCTTTGCTTCGTCGGTGTACCAGCCGCCCTCCTTGGCGCTTTCCTCTTCGGACTGTGTGACGAGGCGGAGGAACTCGATGTGACCCGAGGAGAATAGATCCCAGCCTCCGTCGACATAGATGACCTTTTGGCCGGGCTTGACACCCTTGCCCTTGACCAACTCGTGGAACTTGCCCTTTTCTTCCTTGACGGGTCCGAGTGCTGAGGCGGTCGAGGCCTGGCGGACGGTGCCGGGGCGCGGCGCAGTGGGCGATGTTGGCGAGGTTACAGTATTGCTGGTGGTTGTCCTCCGTAGCTTGACGGGTCGCGAAGCATGCCAGTACCACACGTCGCAGCCGGGCGCGCGACCTGAGGCGTCGGTCGCATAGTCCTTGATGCGCTGAAGCATCTCCTCTCCCGTCTTTAACCGCTCCTTCTCGTCACCCGGGCCCTCGTCTCCGGACAGCCTCTTCTCCAGCGATGGTATAAAGTGCGACTTGGTGCACAGCAGCATGCGGCCCACGAGGTCGGTTGTCGAGATGCCGGGTGTGCGCTTAACCACCTTGAACCTGCCTGCTGCCTTGACATAGCGGTAACAGTCCTTTCCGTCGCTGTCGGAGGTGATGTCATCGCCGTGGACGACGTATTGGCAGCCGTAGTGGGTGATCCAGGGCAGCGAGGTTACGTAGGGCGCCCTCGGGACGGCTTTGGTAGCCCATCGGCAGGCTTCGACGGCGGCGACACTGATGTTGTTAGCTATGAAGGCGGCGCATTCGTTGTGGTTGTGCGCACCGCTCGTCCAGGCGCATCACCGTCGGGCCCTTGTTCTCCATGATGGACTCATCCGAGTGCACACCGACGAACAGCTCGTTGCCCAGCTGGCGCGCCTGCAGCATGGCGCCCGCATGGCCTGGTACCTGTAAGCGCTGAACATCTCGAATGCGGCAGCCGGCATACCGTGATGAGCAAAGTCGAAACAACCATCAACCCATATGCGCTGCTCCGAAACCTCGACGTCTTCCTGAGGATCCACGGGCCACTGTCCCTCTGAGGGAATCCACTCTCCCTGTGTTTCGTCAGTTGTTTGCGCAGCCTGGGCGTGGGTGGGCGGTGCGTACTCGTGCGCTCTGTCTGCGCTGCATCGTGACGTGGGGTAGTTGGCGGGGCTGGCGCAACACACAACAGTATAGCGGAACCTGGTTGTGATGGAGTGTCTAGGAGAGAGTCGGACGGTGTCGAGTCTGAACCGCGGGACTGGAAAGCTTGGAAGCTTGGAGCTTGGAAGCAGCACCTGCCACTCTGGATTCAGCCTAACGTGCTGATAGCCGCACGTGGGCAAATGGCATAGTCAGTGAAGCTATGGCAATGTAGGCGACAGGGGCAGAGGCGGTGGGCAGGGATGGGCCTCGGGCGGCTTGTTCCTGCGTCGGGATAGGTTCTCACGGTATCAGCTGTAGCCGCGAATCGAAACACGTTTTCGTTTTGCGCGCCAGTATCTGCCTTATAGCGTGCAGTCCCGTCTGCGTGTCTTCTCACCTACATTCTAACGAAGACACCGTAGTATATTTACAAGTAGGTATAGCAATGCGGCAATGTTATCAGGGTCCGTGGTGAAACAGCCCCTGATCCCTCGGTAGCCCCACACGTCTGGGAAAGCACATGGGCTACCAGCATGGCCGACAACTCCAGCCAGGGCCTCTTCTCCCGCCGCCCCTCGTTTTTCGGCGGCAAGACCAAGGGACAAGGACACAAGCAAACAAACTCGACCCTCGCGCCGCCCCAACTCAACATCACCCCCGCGGCCACCCCCGGGCTAAAGACACCCCCTCTCCAACTCGACCAATACGAGTTTCCCGCCCGGCTCGCAGCGACGCCACCTCGACGCAGGCACGCCAGCAGCAGGCACAGCATCGCCTCGTCCGTCACCGATCTCGGGTCCACGCTGCGGAGGTCACGGTCCGCCTCGCTTCGCACCAACGCGTCGGCCTCGTCCTCGCATAAGAGGACCCCCTCGGCCACCCTGGCCCTCACCTACTCCCCCGAGAAGGCCCCCGTGCCCGCCAGTGTGACGAATGCCTCGCGGCCCGCCCTCTCCATATCCACCTTTTCGCGCAGCAAGCAAAAAAGCAGCGAGAACGTCAAGACCGAGGGTGGCAGCGTCCAGCAATCCCAGGCCCAGGTCTACGAGAAGAGCCCCCTCAGCGCCGTCGACAAGCCCAAGACTCCCTTCGCCAACATGGCTGTCCCTATCCCGCTGCGCCATCCGCCCTCCCAGAAGGAGATCCTCCAGGCAAACCAGCAGTCCAACCGCACATTAGCACCTGCTGCGCCCATCCCCGTCCCCAACGGCTCCAACCCCAACCTCGTCTTCCAGCACATCCACGAGCTCGCCTCCAAACGCATATCCACCCTCGACTACCTGCGGAAGGCGTAAGTCCTCTCCTTCCACATCGTCACCATAACTAACACCCCCCAGCCACGAAGGCCGCATCTACTGGTTCAACACGCTCCTCTTCTCCAAAACAGACCTCACGCGCCTCCCCTCCTTCACCACGCGCAACCAAGCCCGGCGCGCCACCCACTACCTCCTCCTCGGCTTCTCGCTCCCCACCATCCTCGACCTAAACGCAAATTCCCCGTCCGACTACCTCAAAGCCCTCAACGCCCTCTTACTAGAATTCGAACAATACCAATCCATCCACCCGGCCGACGGCTCCACCCCGTCCTCGCTCTCCCGCGCCCGCCTCCCCCAAATGTTCAAGCGCGCAAACATGGGAATGGGAATGGGCATGGGCATGTCAATGGGGAGTAAAGGCCGGCGGTCCAGCAGCGCAAATGGCGATTTCCCACTGCTCACTCCAAGCAATAGTTTCACCGGCAGTGAAACAAGCGGTGGTATGGGCGGCGGGTTTGACTCCCCGCCTACAACAGACGATTCCTTGCTCCCGAATGAAAGCTACACGCATCTCCAGACTCCGAGCTTACCGTTCGACCCCGATTTCTTCAGCACGTTTGCGACGCTGTGCGATGTCTTGATTGATTGTTATACCAAGATACTTAGTATGCTTAGTACGCCGGAGAGTGTGGCGAGTGCGGGGGGTGGAGTGCCTAGTTTGGTGGGGGATCTGTTTAACAAGGCGGATGCGCGGGTGAGGAAGATTATTCTTGCGGGGGTTGTGCGCGAGTTTGAGGATAGTTGTCGGGCGGGGTTGAAGAGTGAGGTTGGCGGTGTGGGCAAGGTTGTTCTTGGGGGGTTGATGTAGGAATGCATTTGAATGGATGGAGTGGTATGGAAAGAGGATGATTTATGCGGCGGAATTATGATCTGGGCACTTTATGATATCCAACAAGGTACACGGATGGGCGTTTTCTTTTCCTCTTCTTTTTCTTCTTTTGGTTGGCTACTTCCTTCTTGCATGGAGATGGAGTTGAGAATTTTAGAATATACGGTAGCATATGGCGTGGTATAGCATAGCATGAGAAGGCCAGATTGGGATATACGCTGGCAAGCGTAAGAACCCTCTTCTACAGCACAACGAATGTGCTTCCAACAAACTCATGCCAACACGCACATTCTTTCGACCCTATCTCCAGAAGTTCAACTTCATCTCTCCTCACCGCCACATCCCCAGACGTATCCGCTGATAAATCTCAGCAATGGCAACCCCTGTCTCCTAAGCAGCAGCCGCCTCATTCTTCTCAACAAGATCCACAACACCCTTCCCCCTACCCACCTTGACCTTTGTCTTCTTCGCCGGCTTCTTCTCTTTCTGCCCCTCACTCCCCACCGCATCCCCCTCATCCACGCCCTCGCTCCCAAAAATCTCCTCCTCCTCATCCCTCAATTGCTCCTTCAGATCCGCCAGCTCGATCCTCATACTATACGCATCCTCACCATCAGCATAGTATTTCGCTTCGATCTTGTCGACGGTGAAACCGAGGGTTTCGCGGTAGAGATGCAGGGCGGCGTTGTTGGACACGCGGACGTGGAGGGAGACGTAGTGCGCGTTGAAGGTCTCGGCCATGGCGCGTTGGGATTGGCGCATTAGTTTCTCGGCGAGACCCAGGCGGCGGTGGGTGCGCATTACGGAGAGGGAGGTTATGTGGCCGTGTTGGACACCGTCGGTGGGCTCTTCCTCCATTTTGGCGAGGACGTAGCCTACGATTTTGGGGGGGTCGTAGGGGGTTTTGGGGGGGCGGGATACCTGGGGGTTGTTAGTCGAGTGGACAGGTTATGTTGTATCATCTAGTGTTGGAGTATAGATGAACGGCCGGGTCATCACGTGTTCCACGCAACAACGACCTTTGCTCAATCATCCTTTGACCAATTGACCAATCGACCAATTTCAGGAAATCCACATCCTCTCATCTTTCGAAGATTCTTTTCTTCACACCAGTCACCAGCTCTTTTCACCAATCCTCCTTCTTCTCAACCCACTCCTTCCCAACACAAACACAAGAAACTTACATCAACAGCCACATAGCTCAGCTGCGGCCAACTCATCGCATGATACAAGTAATACTTGCAAAAGTAGTTCTCGGGCAAATTCGTAATATTCGCAAGCTGAACATGCGGAATGTCCGATGGGCGTAGGACGCGGATATCCATTTTGGTGTGGATGTGTGTGGTGTGTGTGGTTCCTAGCTCTTTTCTCTGTAGACCAATACAACAATTGCGGTCGGTGTTGGTCTCTTGGGTACAAGAGAGTGATGGAATTGGTACGGATGTACTTGGGTGTACTTGGGCGTTGCAGCGCTAATGCGAATGCGGATGGGGGGATGAGCGATGGGGCTGGGAATCTGGACTTCTGGAAGGCGGTTTGGTGAGGAAGAGGGCGAGTGCGTTATGTAAGCAGGACTTGTGGGGTCAGGTCGGGGATTAGAAGTTAGCGCGGGGCTAAACGCCGACTCTCCTCATTCCTCAGGAAGCCCAAGAACCTCATAAACTCAGATCTCAACATGACATACAGCCATTAACCTTCAAGCCTGATTCCGATCAACCGTCATACGCTAGTATCCCATCCCATCCCATCCAAACCATCAAACAGCCACCACCCCATCCTCACCTACGCGCCTTCCCACAATACACAGATCCGGCAGCCCAAACGCATCCCTCAACTTTTCTCTTGCCTGAGCGTCCGTCAAGTTAACTTTCAGACGCCAGACTTCTATCTCCAAGAGCTTCAATGAAGCAAACCATTCCTTCAGATATGCACCCTTCATTTCATCCTGTCCCTCGATGATAGCCCGCCCATTCCCCTCCGTCAGCCACAGGCGCTCGATCCTTCCGAAGCCCGCGGCGGGTAGGTTGGAAGAAGAAAAGAAGCGGAGGGCGAAGTAGCTAGGTACAAAGGTGCAGAGGGTGAAGGACAGAGCAGAGGCTTCGATGTAGATCTGGCGGCAGGTGTATAGGATGGCGCGGACGCTGGGGTAGCGGCCGAGGACGTCTTTTTTGATAAGTAGCTTGTTGATGTTGATGGTGGTGTTTAGGAAGACGAATTTGTAGATTTTGTTGCGGAGTTCGGCGGGGAGGTGGAGGAGGGGTGAGTGCGTCTGGTTCTTGGGGGTGCTGGGGGGTGTTAGGACGTAAGACAGTGGTGGTGAGGGGTGAGTGTACGTTTTGTCTCTGTTTTGCTTCTGTGGAAGGATGTGGTTGGAGTTGCGGAGTTCGTCGTAGTCGTTGTTGAAGACGTCGTCGACGTCGCGGAGGTCTTCGTCGCGGTCGTCCTTTTGGTTGGCGGGTAAGACGCGAGGTTTCATGGAACCTAAGTCGGAGAGGCGAAGCATCGTCAAGGTGTGGGCAAAGCGACGTCGGTTTTATGTTTCAACGTTGGTTATGAAAGCGAGATGATGAGTAGTCGGTAGGCAAGCTGTCAGGCAACGCTGGCCGCGACGCTAGCACAGGGTCTGCATGAAGACAAACGGTGATGGTGACTGCAACTTAGCGCTAACTACATGAGGCTGCATCTCGAGGACGAGGTGACGTCCTCGCGATCCGAGACTGCCTGAAGACACGAGTAATCCCCTTGTCTCAAACCGAATCTACCACCACTACTAGCTACCTGACATCGATCACACGGACAAACATATACTTTCGGAACGAACGTAGCCTTCTCACATCCCCATTTCTTCCCCATTATTCCAGCAAGCCTCTGTAGTGTTTGCATGTTTCCCTTGCGATAATATTCATGATATTCAGCAGACACCCTCACGTAAACGTACCCCAGCCGTGGAAGCTTATACCGCCCCTCGTATTGCTCAAGCAATTCAAGCGTAGACAATAACACGGCAATCGACGTGATGAGTTCCCTCTTTTCACGCCCAGTATGTCCCAGGAAACGATGAAAGTCATATCGCGCATAATTGAAGCCGAACGTTGTGTAGGAGAAGAAGGGAGACTCGGCCTCGGACCGGGTCTGACGACATGTTCGGAGGAGTGAGACGGTGTGGGACATGGGCCCGCCCGAGTTTGTTCGAGGGTGTATTGAGGCAGTACGCCGGTCCAGCAGTGGTTCAATGGAAGAGTCGGCGAGAGCGTAGCCGTAAATTTTGTTGCGCAGCTCGCCTGGGAGGCGCAGCAAGGGTGAGTTCTTGGCATTGGCTTCTGTGCTGTGCATGTCAGCGGGTCGGGCGAACATTTGCAGCGACAGTTCCAGAGACAGAACTTACACAAGGTCGTGCTTGTCGACGGCCTCCTCGGGGATGGAAGGCAGAGTTGCGACGTAATTCATCCTGTGTCCGCCCATTTGAGTTTGGGGATTTCTCTGGTGGATATAGGTTGATGGCTGGTTGGTCGCACTGAATCGCAATTGCAGCTGGGACTAATAGGCGATGAGTACATAGGCCGAGCTGTGAATGTCAGGACTCCAGCGAGCTATTGCTTACCCACTCACAACCAAGGCTGCAGTCGTGAACGTTTATCCTAAACGAGTCAGCTCACGATTTACTCCCATTCACTAGACAGCACCCTCATATTTCAAGAAACAAGCCATAACTTTCGTATATATCCAAACAGCTTCGAACCGAAATATATGTACGTGAACAAATATGTTACCAAATCGTGCATCCAACCCCATATTTCCCTTCGTAAATGCAAAAGACATAATCTCAAAAACGCCAACGAGATGCCCTTGTTGCTTATACTCCGTTGCCAAATGCGTAGTTCGAATTTTTAGAAGCCTCTTTCTTGACTGAGAATCTCATCAACCATGGGTTTCACGGTGGGCATGTAGCCTTGCATGACTGGGCACCATAGCGCCTTCTTCAGTCCCAGTTCTGTGGCCATGTAGTACATCAGGCGGTTTATCCATTCTCGCCTTGCTGCAATGTCTATCCTCCTGGGCTCTACCCCGTGGTCGAGTGGAGGTAGGTCTAGCGGGTGATCGTACGGGTGCGCAGGGTTGGGGTCAAAGATGTGATTCTTCTTTGCATTTTGGTCCAAGAGCGGGGTGTTCGATGGCGGACTCGCGCCAGGAGATTGGCCGCTTTCCGACTTGGTCCGAATGTTGCGGAGTTCGGAAAATGCCGGTGCTGCCTCGTAGGATTCCAGGGCCGTCGACGGCTCGCTTGAGGAAGACGCGTTGGAAGTGGATGTAGCAAGATGTGGTTGCGAGTGAACTGGCGGTGGTGTTGGCAGGTGAGTAGCGCTGTGCGGACGCTTGCCTGCATTGCTATCCGGTACAAGACCTGAGCTAAGTACTGAATCCATCGTACCCAGGGGCCATATGCAGATATAGCCCCGCATGCCACAGATATCTGTAGCAGATTTGGTATCTATCGGTACAGTAAAGCTGCCAAGTATGGAAGAACAGTTCTTCTCGATGACCTCGACTAGGCGGGCGGTAGCGACCGAGTGATGCATGCGGAGATTTGCATTACTCAGAGCAGTAGGCATAGACTGACCCGGGGCTTCTTGAGGACGGAAAGATAGGCAAGGGTCCCGGAACCTCAACATCCAATTCAACATCTCGAGCAGATCACGTAGAACAAGTATGCGGCTCGTACGGTAGAAGCCCCAGATCCAGACGCGTTTCAAGCTCGGGTATATGTGAATTTCTTCCGGTGCGCCTGGACAACCCAGGAAGAGCTTTTGTAACTTGGCATCGTAGGTCGACCGAGCCTCCGGTGTGTTGGGTGTCATGTGATAGTTCCATGCCGGTGTGACGTTTGCCTCCCAAGCTTCGTAGTCGCTTTCCAGTTCGAGCGCGCTCTGTAGAAGTTCTTGCAAGGCCATGCGGTTGGTTGGTGGGTTTGGACTTTGCTTGGTTTCGTGCCATCTGGCATGCAGCATCGCCGCTCGCCATATTAGACGAATGACAAAGGCGTTGGAATTTTTGTATAGACTTGGAAGTAACTCGTCTACTTTGACCACATCTCTCGTAGGTATTTGCGGGCGTCTTGCTGCCTGTAAGTTGCCCAATAGCTGTCGCAAGGTTAGCCATCAGCGGAAAAAAGATGTTCATCTGTGACAGCGATTACCAGATGTGCATAGATGACTTCGTAAAGTCTGGCTGATATGATGTCGCTGTAGAACTCCTCAACCGTCCGCAATTGAAGCATAGCATTCGCGCCTTGATTGTGAGCCAAAAAGGTGCCTTTCCGCTGCACGCTGGTAAGATTCTTTTCATCTTGTTAGAGTTTATGTATAACATCAAGCTGTCTCGAACAGACTTACCTCGTAAATACCCATCAGATGTACTGAGCAAAGCGCAACATTCGTGGCTGCCTGCTTCTTGTCCGCGATTGCCTTTGTCAACATCGGAAGGGCCCTTCCAACGCATTCCTCACCTAGTGCTTGCGCATGAGAATCATTGTATCTATTAGCGAAGTTGACGTAAGATACTGCATCAACCGCTGTCGCGATCAATGAGTTCTCCGGGGCGTCTTGATACAAGAGCGGGATAAATGTCCACAGGGCTTCATCTGGCTGGTCGGCTGGTCGGTTCGGCGAGTCGGGCAGCACAAAGTCGTACACAAAGCGCTCAAAGGCTCTTCTACGGAAGTCCGGATTAAGAGATGGAGTGATAGTCAGCCGACTTAGATCGATGGTTGCGGACGCAACGCTTGATGATTCTTGAGCCGGGTCATCCATAGAGCCACCGGGAGAATGTACACTACCGCTGGAAGAGCGCGTGTCATCCAGATGTGGTGGTGTTGACTCGTCGCTTGGTGGCGTTTTGATATAGGTGTTATTATAGGTGTTGCTGTAGGCGTTGCTACTTTCGGCAACAGTAGCACGTTGGTTTGACTTTGATCGCTTCCGCCACGACTCTTCTGCTCTTTGCGCAGCCGATGCCGTTTGGTTCCGAAAGAGAATGTCGGCTTGGTCTCGATATTTGCATTCATGGCCTGCCTTGCTACATCGACTGCAAGCTGGTCTACCCTCATCGCACTACGCTGGCATCAGCCTTGTCCGCATGGCCGTCGTTGCCCTGCGCGTGGTGCAGCATGAAGAACAGGACAATTCGCAGAAGTGGACAGAAAGAGATGCGTACCTTGACTTTACGGGCTCTGCAAGCCTCGCATCCCTTACTGGGTCGGCCACGATAGGACATGCTTATGCTCTGGAGGCGATGAGGCGGTAAGACGAAAGGGCGGCAAGCTCCGCAGTCGCTGCTGTTCAGGCTCAGGTAAGGTTCCTACGAAGCAAACACTAGCGCGGGCATCCGATTGCACAGAACAAAGAACGTCAAGTCTAATAACTATGTCTCCTCTCCGGTCCGCGAATGTGCTGCGTGGTCATCCGAAGGGTCCTGAGCCAGAAAAGGCGTAGCGGCGATCAGGCTGAAACCCAGGCCACGCTTTTACGAGCTTGGAATGGAGCGCCCGGTGACTGGCGGAAGATGGACCATAAGGGTTGAATGGCAGAGATCGAAGGGCATGGGGTCAGGCCCGGTGCTCGGGAAAACGGTGCTGCATAGTGGGTTGATGTGCCGTAGACTGCATAACTGCGTCACAAGCGACAGGCATCTCTCGTTGCTGACTCAGGACTTAGTGGTGTCTTGGCGCTCAGCGGCCTCCCGCTTGCCGACTGCGACGATGCTGCAACACCAGACGAGGCGTTCAACTCCATGCATGTTTCGAGGCACAGCCAGATAAGATTCAGACTTCTTAGTGTCGAAATTCTTACTCTTTCTAGTGTATTTATCCCGTCATCTATCTTGGACTCCAGTATTAGTCTGCAAGGTCGATGCAGGCCGCCTACTTTCGGAGCGCCTCAAATACGCCGACCAACAACTCCCGATACGCACCCGATCATCGCGAACACGCGATGCCAATGTTTCAACGGTCGTCTAGCAGGGAAAGATGGCATGTCATTTTCAACGGCTCCAGCGTTCGGATGCCTAAAACCATGACATTAACTTATCATTGGGCGTTGGCAGCAATCAGTAATCGGCCCTCTTCCAACGGGCGACTAGTAAGATTGACTGGACCGCTCCGCGAATTTAAGGTTTGGAAACCACTATGGATTGCGGAGTATTCACCCAAGTCTCTTGACAGCTCGCCTCTACTATGACGTGCCAATGCGCTTGTGTCTTGAACATTGCGAAATTTTCTCACCGGTGCCGGAAGCATAAAGGGGTAACCGCATACATTGGAAGACTTTGTTTCACGCTACCCCGAGTTTCAATTTCGTCCACATTAACATCTGACAGGTGTCCGCACCAAAACCACAGGAGTAGCGAAATCAACACAACGCACATGCACAGACAGTAATTTTCGACGACGCGATGCGCTCATGCTATAGCTTCGCCAACAGGTGCCGACCACCATCCTCACTTCCCAAT